TTGGTATTAAAATCGTTGATATTTTTCTCTACAAACTTGATCAAATTATAAACTTTTTTGACTTTAATCAAAGATAATATGTAGAATAAAAGTGATTGAAGGGAGTATCACTAGGGTATCTCCAACGCCATCCATTAAAATGGACACGCTATTTGTCCATGGATTGGTCCGGATAGTCCACGGACACGGATACGGACCGTCCGTGGACATGGATATGAGAGCCGCTCATCCAACCGCATTCTCTAGATGTTCGATCAAGTCCGGCAAATTTCATTTCAAATGCATAGCAATATGAGCAAATTAAAGTGCGGTGTTCATAGCATCCTATCATAACTAAAAAGAGGTGGATGTTCTATGCACACAAAAAAACATTTTTGCCCTACCAGATAGGCTGTCCGAGCCTCCTCACTCACTCCGCCATCTGCTCCTCCACACCATCTGCCTCCTTCTCGGCCGCCTACATTTCAACCGCCAAGCGCTTCAACATCTTGACATGAACAAACTTCAATATGCAAGAACATTGACCAAACAAAATATTTCTTTAGCGGGAATAGGAGGTTGCGGTGATATTCTTTGGTGATTTGAAACATACACCCCCTTGCACCAAATTGCGGAAGGCCCCAATCTAGACATGGTGTCGAGTCATGGTGTCTTCTTTAGTGATTTGAAACATAGACACACTCGTAGTGCCAAACACGTTCAACCCTATTAGCCATACAGAACACGTAGTCCTCAATATATTTGAATGGTTTCGTGGAGTGAGCTTCGTCAGTATTGGATTCGGAGCCGACTCGACCTGGCCCATTTGGTATATCATGTACACTCCCTCTAGCCGGTGGGATTCTTAGTTGGCTCACCACGATGATAATTCTCAATCATTGCCACATTGTCATCCAAGCCGTTCATCCTCATGGTCAACATCTTGGTATCCTTCGAAGCGGTCGTGAGCCCAACCCTCCTCTCTTTGAGCTCGGTCTTTTTCTCTTCCATGTTGATCTTCTTGTTCATCGCCATCAAGATGTTAAACCTCTCGGCCTTCTTTTCCTCCTTCACATCGGAGCGATTGACACATGCCTCCTCCTTCGCCATGATACCCAAATCTCTTTGTCATCTTGGCCACCGCCCTTTTTCTCTTTTCCTTCTCCCCCCACTTCTTTGTCCAGAACGCCCTCCTAATCTTTTTGGACAGCTCTTTTGTTGAATCGGTTGGATCACTCGCTTCCTCATTACCGGTGCCGGAGGTCTTGATTGGGTTGACAATGGATAGTTGCCATTTGGGTTGCCCATTCAATTTCAACCAACAATGCGTGAGGACGAAGTTCTTCTTCTCCATATTCAAGAACAAGTTGCACACAAGGGATGGGAGGGGGGCTAAAAAAGACATTGTCAACAAGTTGCATATCCAGCCAAATGACTAACACATATAAAATTTACTTCCTCGGTGATTTGCGCACCACGTGGCACCGACCGATTAGTTGTTTTAAATGGCCACAATACTTGCTCACGGCCTCTTGGATGATGTATCATCGATGGTTGAGCTACTTTGTCCCACCATCAAGATGAGTTTGTTGCGGTAGGGCTCAAAATTCTTGTGCTCATGGAACCAAGAATGGATATTGGACCAAAATATTGTTCCCTTTAGTTTTGTGCCATGGCTCATATCCATGCTAGTGGCCAACCACGCATGCCACAATAATCCATCCTCCCGCATGTCGAAGCTTTCTCCTCTATCCCTCTTCTTTGGATCAGCCATCCAATCCTTCCGATCAAGGCTGCCATCGCCATATGTGTCCTGCTTCGGCTGGCCGATGTATGAATCTGGTTGCTGGGTGTACGTGCCGAGCTAGGTGTATGTGCTGGGCTGCGTGTACGTGCCCGGCCGTTAGGCGTACATCTTCGGCTCTAAGTCATCCACTTGTCCTTCCTCAAAGCCTTCTTTGTCTCCATCATAGATTACCCCTATCTGTATGCCATCCTGTTCGGTTGAGACATATCGGCGAACAGAGAGCGGGCATCGAGCTGATCGGCGTCCGCGAACGCTATGGAGATGCTAAGTCGGGGAAACCGTCAATGTTGACGAAATGCGACACGTACCCGACGGCGGAGGCTAGAGAGAGCTGCTCCCGGCTGAGCTGTTTGGCGGCATATAAGTAGGGCGGCTGATATTGCTCCAACCAATGCGGCGTGCGCATCAGCGCATGGATGGCGTCGGCGGACGGCGCCAGCTTCGGGTTGACTGCACCGCCATCGTGGTTCGCACTCCGCCTCCACGCACACGAGGCCGACTCATGCACATCTGGGGCCATCGACACGGCGGGCTCGAGGGAGGAAGTGTAGCACATGGGACGCCGCCATGTCTTGGGTCCCAGGAAGTTCACTCCTATTTTTTCCTCCTGCTTCTGCGCTGTCAGTGAGCTTGCCGGACATGGAAGACAAGACGTTGGACATAGACTCCGCCACGGCTAGCGATTATTTAGATTTAGGTTAAAAAAGTCTCGTCGTCTTTTGTTTAGTTGAAATATGTCAAAAATGTAATGAATTTGATCCGGTCTAAATAAAAATCATCCGGTTTGCATAAAGTTCATCTGTTTTGTTTAAATTTGCTTCTAAATGTATGTACATGGTTGGATGACCGGCTTTCATGTCACTAGCGGACGTGTGACAAATACATTTTAGGAGTTTGCATTGGATATGCCCTTAGATGATACTTCCTCGGTAATGACCTAAACGCTCTTATATTTCTTTACCGAGGAAGTAGATTCTTATGGAACTGATGGTATTGCCATTATGCCATATTAGGAATGGAAATTAGACTCGGTGTAAAATAATGAAAGATTGAAATTTCAGGGTTACATAAGGAAGCCTTTATTTAACCCATGCCAAATTAGGATTTTTCTCTTGGTTAAGTGGCTTGTGAAGGTGGCTATATTCCCGATGCACCGGGATCAAATTCCAAGTTTGACCATCTTCACAGCGTGAACACTCTAATATAGCTAGCATCAGCTTTGTCCATGTGTTGATGAAGGAGATGTCTGTCAGTAGACATCATGATAGTGTGGGTTGTGTGTGGAATACACTGTACTTGGTGTTCCTTAAGAAAAAAAATGAAATCTTTACAGCGAAATATTGCTTGTAGCTTTAAAAAGATACTTGTCCCTCGTACAACATATAAAGGGCGAAAATCAAATGTAAGGAAGATAGAGGGGAAAACAAAATTTCATGGCAGAGTGTTCCCATTTGCTAATTTTGTGGGTGACACGTCATTTATGATGCAATATTCAAGCATGTATGGAATTGTTAGACACAATTGCACAGGCCTTGGACCTAGCATATCGTGATATTTCTTTTTATAGGGACTTATTAGGGTCCCGCCTCATATCATGGAATGAATTGCTCACATGTTTGGAACACATTCAGCTGTCAAACGAACAAGACGAGTTTCAGTAGAATTTGCACCATAATGGTAGGTTTTCTGCTAAATCCTTGTATGAGGTGATTACCCACAATGATTTTCTTGTCGAAGCACCTCTTTTAGTGAAGATATTCCACTGATTATTAAACAATTGTGTGAGCTTGACTTGAGATTACTGCTTTGCTAAGAAAGCAGTCTCATGTTTTGGATAATCAGTTGCTCTCAGGTAGCCTAATTCTCCTTTCGAACTACGGAATTCGGGTTTGATATGGTGATAAGCCAAGCCTAAAACTACCATCGCTTAACCCGGTGAAGAAGAGTTTCCAATCGAATATGCTTAACAAACCCAGCCGTCGGGCTACGAGTGAGGATTTCTAGGGAGATTCAAGCTGTGGCTCCGCTAGCTTCAGTCGGCATAAGAACAAAGAACTAAATGGGTCTCCTTAGCCTTTTGTTAGCTTCGGTGGCCTGGAGTCTTCTACAGGGCATCTCTTCTTTATAGATGAGAAGTCGATTCAGTGTGCCGCATTTGGCAAGGTAGCAAGAGCTATGTCTTTCGCCAACATGACGACTATATTAAAGATATATTTTTGTAGTGCAAGTTCGCTCTTGCGATGCCGATCATAGTTCAAGTAGTTTTAAACCTTTACAGGTCTGTAGTGCGCGTGATACATTCGGCTATTGATTGCCTGACAAACATTTTTCTAGATACATTTTTGTGGGGCCTGTAACCTTATGTTTGGTTCTATAGCTTGCCAGTTATGTTGCAGTTTATGTTTTAAAAATGTGTTTCATCTCCTCGGTAGGTTATTCATGCATGTATACAATGACTTCATACTTTGCCTATCCTGTACCAGATGGAGGTTGGAGGACATGACTTTTTTATGATGGCGTACCGCTAGAAAGGTTTTCTCCCATCATAATTGACGGTGTAATTTTCGAATAGTATCTACCTGAGTGAAGCATTGGACCCGCTGTAAAATGACATTTTATTTTTGTTTGTGATGAATCTGTATCTAGACAAATTTAAGTCGACTAATAGGGGATGGAGGGTGCTGATGGTATAGCTGGTCAGCAGTAGAGTGCAACTATCATTATTGGGTAATCACACGGAATTCTTGGACCGGCAAAGTGATAAACAGCGGAATTCCCATTGAATTATCCCAGCGCACGGATCGAGCTGTAAAGGCGGCATCTAATCCGCCTTTGAAGCTAGAGTGGGGTGCGCATATCGTGGGCGTGCTGTTCCATTCTTCAGCCTCACAACGCCCTGCCAGGACCAGAGCGGTTACCAACCGATGAAAGTTCGGGAAACGCAAAAGAAAGAAACTTGTGTCAACTTGACAGAATGCAAGCTATACTAGCCTTTTCATCAAGACTAAAACGCAACAAGAATACACTTGGATCATGACCATGAGCCGATCAATTGGTCAATGCTATGATTATGATCACACACACACACACACACACACACACACACACACACACACGCTATGCATGCATGATGCATCCTCATCCATGCATGCGACACCAAAGTGCATTGTGATGTAATTCCTAGAGAATTCAGAGGTGTTTAGGAGGCCTCGTACTAGTGGCGTATTCTTTGGCCGGCGATGTGAAGCCAGACGCGGCGGAACGCGGCAACGACGGCGCGGTGGTGCTCGGCCGCGTTGAGAGCGAGGTAGCACGCCAGCAGCTCCTCGAGGTCCTCCGATGACCGTATGCGGTTGGCCGCCATCATCTCCGCCATGCTCTCCGCCATCTCCCTCTCCGGGTCCGACGACGTCTTCACCACCACCAGGCTCTCGTACAGCCACCGCCGTCTCCTGCTGCCCGCGTCCTCGGCTGCTTTTTCCTTCCGGGCACTTTTGTCGTCGTGGCCGCGGCGCCGCCGCCTGCCGGCCGGCTTCACGTGGAACCCCCGCGCCCTGCAGGTGGACGGCGTCGTGGCGGCCGAGGTGGGGGTGCCGGTGCTGCTGCTAACGGCGACGCTTTCCGCGGGGTCGTTCTTGGCGGCGGGCCTGGTGACGATGCGCCGAAGGTTGAGCTCCGGCGTCGCTGGAGGCGCGTCTATCCCGCCGAGTCTGCCGGCGCGGCGATGGATGACGTCGACACGGACGTCCAAGGCCGCGCCGTCGTCGTCGTCGGCGGCGCGCGGGGCAATGCACCGGAGCGCTCCCCGGTCCGCGCTCGGAAAGTAGTAGGAGGCTCTGTTGGGAGAGTAGCCGGCGCACGCCGCCGGTGGGCGCGCGGGTGGCCGGCCCTGCTGGCTTGTCTGTTGGTCCGTCCACTCCGCCGAGGCGGCGACGAATGCGATTGCGTCGGCGGAGGAGCCACGGGTCGGACTCGGCGGACACGCGGCCGATCGCCTGCCCTTCCTTGTGCTCCTCCCCCTGAGCTTGTGGAACCAGGAGGAGGCTGGCATCGCGCGGGCCGGGCGGGAGACAGAGACAGAGACACTCTGTGGCGGCCAAGACAGAGCGTGTGCGTGTGGTGGCGTGGCGTGGGTGTGCGCGTGGTGATCAAAGTTGCAGTGCCCAGCTAGCTCACGGTGGTTATATATCGCGAATGTGGCGACACGTCGTCTGCTAGCTTTCTGATGCGGGGGACGAAGAGATATCGAATATCTACTTGTCAGAGCAATTTGTTGTGGAGTGTGAACTGGTCCTGGTATTTGGGGCGCACTTTACATTCATCTATCTACTGGTAGTACGTACGCGAGATAGAGAGAGATACTGGTGTCCTGTCCGTGGTATGGGAAGCACAAGGGTCGTAGATGTCAAAGTTTTGGTCTACCGTGCTGTGCATCATTTGAACCTTGCAAAGCTTTCGGCTGGCGTGGGGCAGGAGCCTGTCGTGCCCGACGGCCTCGAAATTGAACTCCAGCACCGCGTGTTTGTGCGGGGGTAGGTGTAGGTGGGTGCACCTAAGTAATTATACTGTAACAGTGGCGATAACAGTCGATCGAGTGGGGCACCCGAGCCGAGCGTCGGAGCGTGCGTTTCTTCTCGGGCCGAACGGCTCATCTGATCAACCCGCATGTACGTACGTCGTCCGCCACTGGTGCTACATACACAATACATTCATGGATGACGGATAGTGGTATTGGTGTAGGTGGTACTATATGTTCCTCGTTGGTTGGATATGACGATGTAGCACATAATAAGTGAAGAAAAGGCAAGGTATTCCATGATCATGGCACATAAAAGAGAAGAAAAACTGTAGAATTCAGTACCATATGTTCACATTGAATCGACCGACCAAAGAGTTGATCAAAGAACCAAGTTTACAGCCAAACCTCTACAAGAAGGGAAGGAAAGATCTAGCCAGCCGGCTGGCCAAGGAGAGTCTCCTCCATTGGCATTTCTCCCCAAGACTCAATGTAGTATATCAGGTGTGTTATCTCTTCGCCAAAATTAGTGACTTATAAGTCACGCATGTTTGGTTGTCATCTGACCACACATTCTCATCTTGTTTTTTTATGTAAAGTGGTGGGACCCATGTAAAAGGGGGCGACTTATAAGTTTTAAGTTGGGGTGGAGCAACTTATGACTTATAAATTGGGGTGACTTATAAGTTGGGTCTGTTTGGTAAAATAAGTCATTTTTTTCACTTTTCGACTTATAAATTGGTGACTTATTTGGAACCAAACAGGGTCTAAGGTTCACTCCTATCCCTAGCTTGGTTCAAGAGAGTTTCACCTTGTGATTTCTTTCTCTTCGGCCTCCTTCATGCTCTCGAAGGAATCTGTGGGACTTGCTTTGTAATGTTCTATTGATGGTTTGGCCAAGGATTTTTCATGTGCTTCAACTCAGTAATTTTCGTTTCTGGTTTTTGCCTGCTTAAAACTAAGTTGGATATTTCATTTATCGTCTTAAAGATCGCTTTTGGCTAGACTTTATGTGTCATTTTCATCTTCATCATGGCTCTCATGCAAATGATTATATTTCTCGTCCTTGGGATCCTTCGTGGTCTGCTAATTCTGAAACACTTGAGGGTTCTCAACGTAGCCTGGCTGCAATCAGGCCGAAACTAGATTTCTCAAGGTCAATGCTTCTAAGGATAATTAGACTACCTTAGAAGTATTTAAATTTGGGATCATCTATGATCATGCCCATGCTCATGGATGTGATTAAAAAAAACTTTTTGGCTTGTTGGATTTCTCTTCCCGTCAATGGACTCTGTCGTGTAGGCAGGTGTCTCTGGTGAGCTTTAACTTGGGTCATGTGAATTGCATGCAAATCCGTTAATTGTATAAGACTCAGCTATGCCCACCAAGAAATTCCTAGGGAGTTAACATTTTGGCCAATTATTATAATTCTTTGTCAAACTCATTGGTGGAGTCTATCCTTGATCATCGGGAAATCGTTTACTCGAATCTGGATAATTCAGATACCCTTGATTCCTCAATATTCCGACCAAGGACAATATCTTCAAACGACTGGGAAGTGCATCATTTGCTATGGCACGAATCAAATGACCCATACATGCCAAAGCAATATGTGTGTGCAATGTCACTCTATGCAGACCCCATGCCAGTCTCGTGTGGGCTTGGTCCAACAAAGGATCTTTGTGGAGAGTAATTGTTTGATGTGTCTAGCATTGGGGCACATCTCAAGTAATTGGCCCTCCTTATTTTGTTGCACTTTTTGCAATCTTTTGGGGCATCGGTCAGATGACTGTTTTCCTGATAATAAGCTTTTAATGAGAAATTTTCATATTCCTAAGCAAAGGGTTTAGTTGAAGAGGAAATCCTTTCAGATGGGTAATTATCCTAAGTTTGTTTTGCATATTAAGCAGCAGTCCTATAACGTGAGCGTTATGCATGGCTTTTTGTAAGCATCCATTTTAATGTGATCATCGCATAGGCTTTAGTTTTGTTAGTTATTTTTCGTGTGGTGTTCGTAGGTGATTTGAAACTCCCATGGACTTAAAACAACGAAAGGTCAAAGGTAGGAAATGATACAGAGAAATTACAAACTAGAAAAAGGCTTTTCATGGAATTTGCAAAAATGAAATTTCCCAACAAGCCCAAATTGAAGATCAAATACTAGGAAACTATCGGATCATCCATACAAATCCGTCAAAATCGGAGTTCGTATGAGGAAATGACGACCAAAATCTGTAACTCCACGCAGAACTCCAGATGAGAAGACTAGATGCGGTACCAACACTCTTACCTTGCACTTTGGGTTGCGAAACCAACCATAACTACTACCATTCTTCACCTATTTCATCCCTGTTTGTTCCTACTACTTCCTTGACCACCAACGAGGGTATTGGGAGAGAATAAGGCTCATTTAGATCCCTTGGATCAAAGGAGAGAAGTGATACGTCCATTTTGCATCATGATTTTATGTTAATATTTATTGCATTATGGGCTGTTATTACACATTATGGTACAATACATATGCTTTTCTCTCTGATTTTACAAGATTTACATGAAGAGGGAGAATGCCGACAACTGGAATTCTGGACCGGAAAGGAGCAAATCTGAGATACATATTCTGCACAACTCCAAAAGTCCTGAAAAATTTACGAAGAATTATTTTGGAATATATAAAAATTATTGGGTAAAGAAACTACCAGAGGGGACCCACCAGGTGGCCACAAGCCTGGGGGAGCCTCGGAGGCGCGCCGTACCCCCAGGGCTTGTGGGCCCCCTTGCAGGTCTCCGGTGCCCATCTTCTTCTATATGAAGCGTTTTGACCGAGAAAAAAATATCAAGGGTAAGCTTTCAGGACGAAGCGACGCCGTCTCGAGGCGGAACTTGGGCAGGAGCAATCTAGGGCTCCGGCAAAGCGATTCTGGCGGGGAAACTTCCCTCCCAGAGGGGGAAATCAAAGCAATCGTCATCACCAATGATCCTCTCATGGAGAGGGGGTCAATCTTCATCAACATCTTCACCAGAACCATCTCCTCTCAAATCCTAGTTCATCTCTTGTATTCGATCTTTGTCTCAAAACCTGAGATTGGTACCTATGGGTTGTTAGTAGTGTTGATTACTCCTTGTAGTTGATGCTAATTGGTTTATTTGGTAGAAGATCGTATATTCAGATCCTTAATGATAATTAATCCCTCTGATCTTGAACATCAACATGTTCTGTGAGTAGTTACATTTTTTCCCGAGGACATGGGAGAAATCTTATTATAAGTAATCATGTGAATTTGGTGTTCGTTTGATATTTTGATGAGATGTATGTTCTCTTTCCTCTAGTGGTGTTATGTGAACGTCGACTACATGAAACATCACCATGATTTGGGCCTAGGGGAAGGCATTGATAAGTAATAAGTAGATGATGGGTTGCTAGAGTGACATAAGCTTAAACCCTAGTTTATGCGTTGCTTCGTAAGGGGATGATTTGGATCCACATGTTTCATGCTATCGTTAGATTTATCTTAATTCTTTTTCGTAGTTGCGGATGCTTGCGAGAGGGGTTAATCATAAGTGGGAGGCTTGTCCAAGTAAGGATAGCATCCAAGGAATGGTCCACCCTGCTACTTCTTGAACTTGCGTTGTTTTTTTCCTTAAAGAGGGAAGGGTGATGCAACAAAGTAGAGATAAGTATTTCCCTCAGTTTGAGAACCAAGGTATCAATCCAGTAGGAGAAGAACACACAAATCACCTAATACCCGCACAAACAATCAAACACTTGCACCCAACGTGATAAAGGGGTTCTCAATCCCTTCACAATCACTTGCAAAGGTGAGATCTGATAGAGATAGATAAATAAAACTAAACAAAAGATAAAATATTTTTGGGATTTTTTGTTGTATAGATCTGAAAGTTAAGATTGCAAAATCATAGATCGGAAACTAGTATGATGGAAAATAGAAGATCAGAAACTAATATGATGGAAAATAGACCCGGGCCATAGGTTTCACTAGAGGCTTCTCTCTTGAAGGTAAATTATACGATGGGTGAACAAATTACTTGTCGGCATTCTGGGAACCAGGGTACCCAGACCTGCCTGCCTGCAGCCCACGGCGTGGCTCCATCGATGGCCTGGTATGGCCCATCTTCAGCACCGACAAGACAAGACCCTCGCGAGGGGCCAAGCCTCGCGAGGCGGATGATGCCAAGACCTTTGGAGGGAGCGGCCTCCTCAGGCTGGCTCCCAAGGAGCGGAGATTCCTATGCAGGCGCCTACCTCATGAGGTCGAGGTGACGCAAGCCATGACGACCAAGGCCAGGCGGGAACCAGCGGGCGCAGAGCAGCCGGTTTCCTCTTTGGTGCTAAGGAGGCAAGTGCAGGTGTGGGGTCCCAAGGAACCAGCCAAAGGTTTCCACTCCCGTGCAACGAGACCAAGACTGCCAGGATGGCAGGACAGATGTCATCGCCGAGCCCACCACGGAGTCACGAGCAAGAGGTTTGCAGGCGAAGACCACCTTTCGTCAGGATAAGATATACTACTTGCCCCCTT